TCATAATACCACCTACATCTCCACCAGTGCAGAATTACCCCAGTGAAGTTCTGAGGAAGGCCAAACTAGCAACAGGACATTCCTGTTACTCTGTACAATAGAAACTACCACTTGCCTCCTTCAACTTCTTTACAAAACAGTGTCCTGAACTTCGCATTACCAAAACAGAAAAAAAGAAAAAAAAAAAAACCCTAGCAAAAAAAATCCTTCACGCATCTAAAGAACAACCCCGCAACAGCCCATTTTTGATAACAAAGACCCTAGACTGAACAGTTCTGTAGGTATCTCACTTTAATGAGGCTGAAGGCCTACCTTGCTCCTTAAAGCCATCAGTGTTACTTCCAGCGTTGACTATGGTGGCATAGATCCGCTTAGCCATAGATCTCTTGGTCAAAAGAACAACAACAACTGCTTCAGAGCGACAATATCCATTTCCTGAGAGCAGAGAGAGAAGAACGAGTCACATATCCTGCTCCGCCTTGAAAAAAGTTGCAAACCACTATGCAATAAGGTCATCTCATTCCTGAGCTACCCCTTACAACAGACTACTTTGAGAGTATGACACATCAATTTCTTATAAAAAACATTTTAAAATGTCATAGAATGGTTTGGGTTTCAATGGACCTTAAAGATCATCCAGTCCAACCTCCTTGCCATGGGCAGGGACACCTTCCATTAGACCAGGTTGCTCAATGTCCTTGAAAGGCTTGTTGCCCATCACAAATGACAGCAGAAAGTTTCCATCCAGAGACAGTTATTTTCCCTCCCCAATGGCTGAGGAATGAACCATACAGTTTCTTCTCCCCAGTTTTCCATGTGCAACAGAGCATGCAGCACAGAGCAGGTGCAGGGCATACCCCCAAACTGCACCCAGGAACAACTACGTGGCCAGCTCATTGCTGAATTACAAGAGCATCTGGCAGGCACCACAGTAAGTTCATGACAACCTTTTGTACCGAAGTCTTACCTGAAGCATCAAAAGCCTTGCAGGCACCATCAGGACTAAGCATACCCAGCTTCATGAACTGCACAGAGGTGTTGGGTTTTAGCAAAAGGTTGACCCCTCCTACTAGGGCTGCACTGCACTGTCCATGACGAATTGCCTTATAAGCGTTTTCCAGAGCGATGAGACTAGAGGAGCAGGCCGTATCAATAGTTATGCTTGGTCCTTAGGGAACAGACAGGGAAAACAAATAAGCTCATTTTTACTGTTTACTTCCTAGAGTTGCTCTCCAAAGACTACAGGATGGGATCACAAGAGAAACCTATTCAAAGAAATGTTAAATATTTGCTTCAGAACATAACAGGGAATCCTGATACAGTGAAAGACAGGAATCACCATCTCTGCCTGCTTACCAGGTAACAAGGGACAAGACAGGTGGAAAACACTGCGAACAGCTTGGCTTTCAGCGTACTGTCTTTTTAAAATTCCATCTCTGTCTCTATCAAGAAGAGATACTGCAGGTTCAGAGGCAGGTCTCATCTATTTCCCTATTTTCACCAATAAAAATCCCTTCCCTCCCTGGTACTTCCCTTGCCACTACCTCTTTTCTGCTGCTCTTCAGAGCAATTCCCATCCCTCCATCCTCTTCAGTGTCACACATGGTTCAAGTCATGTCTATGCCTACAATCACATAATTTAGGCAGCTCTCCCACTTCTTCCATTTTAATCAAAGAGCCAAAACTGTTCCAGTGAGTTCCTCTCTACATAGCTGGATATCAAATAGCAGTCCTAAGGCCAGAAAGGACCTAGGCCTTTTTACAAAGGCCTCCTGACACCATCATCTTTCAGATGAATGCCAGCTATGCCCATCAGCAGCAACTCAGTTAAAGCCTTACAATGAGTCTTGTCACAGTCACAATCCATTCTCTGCTCCTTGTATGCCTCCTTATAGTAGCTGCATGCCACTTTCTCATCCCAAAAGGGGTCTACATCATCATAGACATCCTACTCCTCTACAGAAACTGGTACCATCATGCTCAAATTGCAACTGCTGATTAGCATTGACAGGTTTGGGGGCACTTACCTGTTAAGTCATAAAAGTAGGAAATCCTGTTGGCAAACATAGCACGCTGGCAGCCAGTCATGCTGTATCCCAAAAGCTCTTCTGGATCTTGGCTAAGGGCTTCAGCAGCTTCTGACCCACTGGCACCAATCCATACACCTGTGTCTGTGCCACGGAGGGTGGCTGGATTGATACCTAAGGGGATATTTGAAGGTAGATTACAGTAGACAAACTTATAACGAAGGGCAAACTTGGGGGGACATCAGGTAAGATGGCACTATTTCATGCAATGCTACTTACTGACCCTTTCTGGCAGGCCTGCAGCACTGTTCCCCTACCTATAGTTACCTTTTATATGTTTCAATTGCAGACAAGTCTTACTGCAGTCTACTAGAACTTCGAAACTGGCTTTCCAGCTTTAGCTGGGCATTGCTGAAGTCTTGTGTAAAAAAAAAGTGTATGGACTATGAAAGACAAACGCTGATCAGATAAGCGGACAGCTGACTGCAAAGAAAAGGAGCAGACCAAAGGGGAGAAAAGTCACAGCACTTGGAATGTCATGTGAGCACACGAGTATTTATCTCTGGCCACACACAAAGCCCAGATCTGGAGTACAAGCCAAGGGAAAATTCTTAAGCACAAAAGGCAACAAGCAGAACAAGAAACAAGTTCTAAAAAAACGAAACAAAACAAAACAAACACCAACCAAACTGCTTAGCAAGCTCAACTTGCACCAGTCTCTGCTGTTTCTTCACTACACTTCAGGAGTCCTAGAGACAAGAATACTCAAGCCTCCAGACTGAGGTTCAG